GCTCCCTTGCTGTCACCCTTCCTCCCTTTTCCCTTCAAGATCTGAGGGGAAGAGGAGGGGGAGAGATATGGTTACGTGAGTGTTTTATTACTGGGGAGGGGGTAGAGGAGGGGAGATAAGAGCATATGGTTTGAATTTTGAACATAAAAGGGAAGGAAAGGGATGAGTTTAATGGGTGCTTCTCTTTGTATGTAGCAAGGATGTACAAACATTTGTAACAACTGCATTCTGTCCCTTCGAATATCATGAACGATTCAAGAGCTCTTCAGCTGTGATTTGATACCTTATGCCTTGGAGCTTATGATTACCATAATACATTCAGAACAGCTGTTTTACCACGTGCGCGAGGGAGGGTGGGGGTGGGGGTGGGGGTGACCGTGTTAGAGAGAGGGACAAGGATGAGGATATTATCATGTACAGTTGCGGACATCCCAGCAAGTACACTAAGAGTCTGGAGATGCCAATTTTTATCTGAATATACATGTGCATTATGCAGTATTCTGCGAAGGGAGGCGTAGGGCTGTAGCAACGTGATTGGTTGAAATGATTTTACGTTCATCTACAACAGGAAAGTTATCCGACTAAGGAAATTATATCAGAATGTTTTAACTATTCCTGAACTTAAGAACAAAGACTGACTTTTATCTGCGACAAAAAAAAAAAAAAAAAAACATAATTTGATAACCGCTCCTGAGCATTGCTTGCTACCTTTATTGTAACGAATGAAACAGTAAAAATGTTTTATCTTCAGTAAGTAAAACTATTTATGATGTGTAGATGGTTTTAATGTTTTTAGAATATAAAAGTCAACAATAAAGCTTGCGAAAGCCACAAACTGATTTTTATTTGATATGGAAAAATATTCAAAATGTTTCTGACTCTCCGGCCTCGAAAGTTTGTGTTGTGTATGTGTATAGGTATGTATATATTTATATTTGTATATATATTACATATTTATATTTATATCTGTATTAGTTCGCATATACATATATACACATAATCTCGTTAAAAGTGCATATTCATTGCTGATTTTACTATTAATTTCGAGGCTTCCTCTGCCTTTCAGACGCGGGGTCGGCACTAGACGGTTTCCATTACTCACTGTGTTGTATTTTTATAATTGAAAAATATTCTTAACAGTCCAAATAGTCATTTCAAGCGAAATGCAGATCTACATGTGTGAGTTTCTAAGGTATAAAATCTATTACATATTCCGTAAGACAAAAAAAAAAATAATAATAATAATAATAAAATAAAAAAAATAAATAATAATAATAATATAATATTATAATAATAAAAAAAAACATATGTCTCCTAAAATTCTGTTTCGAGGAGTCTGAGTAGGTACAATGTTCTCTTCTTCTTAAATACTAAACCAGAATTTTTAAGCCATAGTTGCTCGTTTAGTAATCTTCAATTACAGTTAATTGGTTGTTCAGGACGTTCTTTATATATATTTCATAAAAATTCAAAACTGTTTAGCTAACAATCAATCAATTTGGATTCCGATGTAAACCAGTATGTAGGTTTCAAAGACAAAGCAGAAATGGCTTTAATCCTAAAAAATGAGGACAAGCCCACCCATGAATAATTGTGACGTTTTTTGGTAGAGAACAAATAAGCCGAAAAACTGTGATGAATTAGGCTTGCGGTCTGTAAACTGCCCTGTAAAAAAACATAAATTTTACATCAAATTATGTACAAAATTTTCTCAACCTAAGCGAAAGTTACAAAAATGTGTACAAGGTCATTCTGTATAATGAAAATCAAGGATGCATGATACACGTGTGCAAATTGCCCAAAAAATGTTAGATCATCAAGTTCCTGCCAATTAAACGAGCTAGAAGGCCCACCTGGATGTATAAATTTGACACAAGCATCACTCTGCTCCTTATCCACTTGACTGACAACTCCAACCCACCGCTAGTCTTCATAGAGACAGGTCATAAAATCAACGACTTCAAATTTCATGATTATGCTGAATCCCAAATAATGTATCATCACTGCATCTCTTTGCTGCAGCAGAACACTCGTCAACTGGAGTAAAATGATGGAAAGATCTTGTATCTGGTGCTGCATGTGTGCCTAGATGTCTCTCCCCAAGAAACTGCCTTTTATAATCAACCTTGATCTTTTCAGTATGAAGGAACTTAATTGGTGTGATATTTCTGTGCAGAGAGTGAAGAGGTCACCCACTTGCTTGCTACAGCTTACTTTTGCTTCAAACCAGGCCATTTGCATTTTTTTGAGGGGGGGGGAGGGGGGGTCGTCCACTACTGTAAAAATCTTTTAAACGCATGGGCAATATTTATAGATAAAGCCATTGTCATATAACAGAATTAGTACATGTTTATGGTGCCACCTATATCATCCCAGGGCTGTTTCCCGTGCCAGGGACATTAAAATCTTTTTGTTGATTGTGCAGATGCACTTCAGCCATCGGAAAAATATTTTATTGTTTTAAGCTTTTCAAGTCCTAAAAACTACGCTCCTGAACTTCGCGAACAATAGCAACATTATGATTTGTGTCATCGCTCCAAAGGCAGTTTGACTGGTGGCAAAGTTTGTCTTCTTTTCTGCAATAAACTACAGTAGAATACATTGGAGATTCGTCCAATGAAAGCTTTGAATTTTGAATGACATATGAATAATTTTCTGCAAAATCATAGAAAAGTGCCATTATTGGCTCCAACTGTTCTTAATGGGAATTTAGACACTGGAATTGAGATTTTGCAACAAAAGAATGCTTATCAAATTCTCAAGTTGTGCTTCCACAATTTCCACATGGTTTAGAACAGTTTCTTTTCTTTGAATAAGATTTGAACGGTCAGTTGTGGTACACTGGGAAAAGACTATTGAATCGCCATCATCAAAGTCCTCGAGAAGGATCTAAATGTGGTCCCTTAATCACCTGATGTCTTTGGGCAATTTGCATATCTGTGTACCATGCATTACTTTCAGGACTGCACACAATGAACTCGTGCAAACTTTCGATAAGTGGGTTGAGCAATTTAAAAAAATATTTTGGTATATTTTACACACTCAAACATAATGGGTCCCTGAAGCTTCAGCAAGGATGCAGTAAAGGATGTTCAAAGAATTAATGCAAAATTTGGACACTAATGTTGACATATCTTGTGATATCTTCTCGGTTTGTATATAACATTTTCATAGTTTGATGTAAAATTTATGTTTCTTTATGGGGCAGTTTACATATGGTGGACTACAGAACGCAAGCCCAATTCATCAGTTTTTTCAGCTTATTTGTTGTCTACTAAAAAACGTCAAAATTATTTATGGGTGGGCTTATCCTTATAATTAGGGAAGTTAATATGTGCATACCACTTCTATTGCAGATGTAGTACTACCTCTTGCAAACATTATAGGGCAGAACATGTAAGAGAAAGCAATTTCCGTTTTATTTTTGAGATTTACGTATATGATCACATCAGAATGCACAATTTGACTGTGATATCCTCCATTGATTTTTACCAGCACGGTTTTAAATTTTGATGAAAACCAGAATCAAAATATGAGGGTTTGTGAGGAATCGAGGCCTCAAACTTTAAGTGGTCCAGGAGCCTAAACCAATTGCAATATCCAAACCAAATTATGAGGAATTGGTCATGTTATTCACTGCACAGGTGGGTGATTTGATATGAAATGACCCCGTTGTCATCCATGTTTGGCTATCGTGATTGTGCTAAAGTTACCAGTTATATATAGCATTTCCAATTGTTCTTATGTAAGGAAAACACCACATTTCTCAAGCAATAATATTGGTATTGGGCATAACTTGGTAATGTTTCCAAACCTTTTAACATGATTCCAATGGCTCATATTAGTTGCCAGTGAATATATTTACTATATACCAGGCGCCAATCACAGACTTCAATACAAACAAGAACATTCCATTCACAAAATACCGGATACTATGTATGTATTGCCAGAAATAGATTAGACCACTTACTAGAGCGGTGAACCTGTTGGAAAAGTCCGTATCTGTACATACTCTCTGTATGGATGTACTTAATGTGTGTTTTTTGGGGGAATTTGAGTACGTGTGTGTTGGCGTGTGAAAAATTTTCGAGGGGCTTTTAATATTTGTCAAACTTATTTTCCTTTTTTATTTATTTTCTTTTCTTTTATTTTATATTATTTTATTTTTATTTTATATTATTTTATTTGTTTTCTTCTTGTCGTACAGATATTTAAAGACAATTAATCTTTTTGGATTTTCGTTAAGATAAAAACAGATGCTTATATAGCACGTTTTTGTGCCTTCCTAAATAAGGTAATTACCGATGAAGACTAAGATTTGAAATATTCGTCTCTAACGGCCGTATGTTTAGAGAATTTGTGTGACGCAAATCCCATCACAATATACTCATGCTTGTTTATTGCTGTCAGTGGCAAGAATACAATTTACATATCTTTAGCTTTATTTTGGTATACCATTTCGGGGGGGGGGGGGGCTGTGAGAGTATACATGCTGTCGCTATATTTACTTTGTACTTTGTTTTGAATGTAGACGGGTTCTGTTTTGATCCTATAGTCCTATTGTACCCCCCCCCACCCACCCCACCCCCCGAAAAAAGCCACATCCCTTAACAATGAGTCTCTTGTTATTGATAAGAAATTTGTCATATTAGTAAGCAATCTTTCCCGCATTCGTAAAATGGGGTATGAAGTATATCGAGAACTTTATGGGGTTAATATGAAGGAAAAGGAATTGAAAGATAAACATTCTCCAAGTGTCCAACACACACACACACACACACACACACACACACACACACACACACACACACACACACACTGCAAATGTCCACATGGAGGTCTGTGTAAATTAAAAACAGCTTCTTAAGATAAAATGTTCGGCCATAGGAGGTGACGTCATCATCTGAAAATACCAATTGGTGTCCAGTTTATTCGCGCTCACTTAAGTTTTCATCCTCCACTTGCGAGCCGGTCAGCCAGATGTTTGGCGATCGCGGCAT